AAACTATTTATAACAAAAACTTTGAAGAATTTCAGACGAAACTCTACGTGATTTATGCTTGATGATAATGTGGGTTCCATCGAATCACGGTTCAAAAACAAATCTTGATCTCCAAAGATCAATCCTTTTTGAGAACTATCGGCAACGCCAGCTTGAAATCACACAAAATCAAGAAAAGAAGTCAAGAAAACAAGAAAAGAAAATAAAGATAATAAATGAATTAAAACTAACTAAATTAACCTTAAAAAAAGAAAATTTTGGTGGGAATTTGTAGAGATTTGGTTGAGGGTTTCTAGTCTAGAGTTTTATAGGGCTTGCTCCATGCTAGGGGAATTTTTGGTTATTTTTCTATGATTTTATATCTAATTTCTAAGGGATTTTTTAAGAGTTGTTTTGTTATTTTCCTAACATTTTTTTGGAGATTTTAGGTTGTGATTTATTGAGTCTTAGAGAGGTTTATATAGGTTTCAATTTGAGGGCCAACTCAATTAGGATTCGGACTTCTAAATCTATTGTTAGGCTTGTTGATAAGGTTTTTCTAAATCTATTGTTAGGCTTGATGATAAGGTTTGATTGGTTGACCAGTCAAGATATGTCCAAAAATACTGTCTAAAATCGATAAAAAATAGGGAAAATATCATGTTATCTTTTTGTTTTTAACTTCTATATCTCATCAGACCCAAAAATTTAAAATATTACTTGTAAGCAAAAGAACTTCATCTTTTCTATCTTCCAACCCCCTAAACCCTTTTGACCTTGTATTATTGACTTATGAAATAACTATATATATATATCTCTCTCTCTCACATCATCGTCTCTCTCAAAACTCCATCTCTCTCTAAAACCCAAACTCTCTCTCTCTCTCTCACATCATCATCTCTCTCTCTCTCTCAAAACTCCAAGAAGTGAAGAGAGAGAGATAGAGTTTTAAAGAGAGAGACATGGAGTTTGAATAAGGTGTCATTTTAGTGTTTGTTTAGCACAAACATTTATGGTCAAAATGGTTCAGGGGGTTGTAAGATAGAAAAGATGAAGACCTTTTGCTTACAAGTAATACTTTCAATTCTTAAGTCTCATGAGATATGGAAGTTAAAAATAAAAGATAAGAAGATATTGCCCCTAAAAAATATCCCAAATATGTATGGAATCTTTCAATATCTTATGGAATTTTTCAAACAAGTTTTGTGACCTGAAAGGTGTTAGTTGTGCATACGGTGTCACTTGGCACGTGCCCCACGTCGTTGAACCAACTTCACTCCTAGCAGCTTCTGTTAGAGACTCTGATGGGCCTAATAGTGATGGTTTAGTTATGTTTGAATGCGTTTTGTGGTCTTCAATAAGTAATTTTATGAGATTTACGTGTTGTATTCGATAAATTCTTATTAGATTTGGTTATCGAGGTAGTTTGGGTTAGATTTGAGGATTTTCTAAGTATTATAGACTATAGTTTAGGGTGACCTATGGTTTATTGCACTAGTGTGTATGCTGGGGTTCAGGGTTATTGGTAGGGAATTCCTCCGTCAAAATTTCAGAGGGGGTGTGTATAGATCCATTAGTGTTGCTTTGGGCTATCAATATATTTTATTATCAAATATTATATGGGATTGTCTACAAATAGATAATTTACCTTATGTATAATGATGTCACAATCATACTTGTTTTTTAGATCTTAAAATAGGTGGTTGTAAGAGTGTCATTGGTTAGACATAATATTCTAATAAAAAACGTCTCGGATTTCGTGACTCACCTCAAGCCATCCAATTTGACATTAATGAATGGGAATAATTGTGACCACTTAGAACAAAAGGTAAATAGTTTCTTTGTAGACAATCCCATATTATATTCTTATTGCATATGAATGTAGCTATTTAGGTGAACTACGTAAATCTTTAAAATCTCATGGTGTTTATTTTCTTACGCTTTATTTTTCATAACCGAATTGTGGCTTATATTTGCTTTTTAGTCAGTTGAGTACACAATCCGGATGGAACTCTATCATTAAAATTCTTTCTGCATCTAATAAACTTCTTAAAAGCCAATAAGTAGTATCAAAGTTCACATTTCAATACAAAAATAAAGTCCGGTGCATTTAATCAAAGAAATGTACATGCTGAAATATGCATCCATTTAGTTTGTGGGAGAGAATTATGATGGTGAGTAAATTCCTTTTCAACAAAAATGACAGTCATTTTGGTAAAAAAGTAAATAAAAAGTGAAATGACAAACTAAATATTTTGTTGTTACAGGGAATATTATTCCATCATAAAAAAGAAAAGGAATTTGAAATCTTAAAGGGCTAGGATATAGCTGCCCACAAAAGTGATGGTATTTGTTGAATGAGTTAAAAATGTATAAACTTTCTTTTTTTTCTTCAAATTTTTTGCCAAAGAGGATGTGTATGCCAAATTTGAAGAGAAACACGTGCCCCTATACCCAATGGGCAAAGACGATGCGTATACCCGAATTGAAGTGAAAGAAGTGCCTCTAAAGCCGCAAAAATCAGAAGGGTGGACCACTGTAGTTGAGTAGTGGATGGTTTGTGAGAGCGAAGACCAAATATTTGTATACAACTTTACAAGAAAAGACCATATGTACTATAGGTTTTGACTCAATTTTAACTCAATCTATTGTTTTTTTGTTTCAACTTAAACTACCATGTTAAGACGTGCCCCTCCACTCAAACTTTTCGACAAAATAATTACCCTAGAATTTTTTTTGAAAACTTTTTTCTCTCTTGGGCAAAGGTTCATTCAAGAGTTTTTTATTAAAAAATTACCCTTACATTTTTAACAACCCTTACATATTATAAAACATTAAACACCTTATTTACTAGTTGCATATTTATCTTCCTCTTTTAAATGTTTCTTGTTTTGACCAATAATATCAAAATTTATTGATAATCAGATTACACAAAAGACATTATATCATCCGAAACAAGAATCGAAGGCAAAGACGCACCACCTTTAGCTAGAGTATTAGCCAAGGCATTTGCTTCCCTATGTACATAAAGAAAGGATATTGTCATGAATTCCACCACATCTAGGATCTAAAACCAAACCAATTTGAGCTCCCATGGCACCTTCCGCTCACTATGGCACCACCTAATGACGTTCAACGAGTCACCCTCAATCACACAACAATTACCCAAATTTCTACTAATAAAAGTTTTCAACCCATGGAACAGTGCAAGCATTTCAGCATTATTAGAAGTAGCATTTCAACATGATATGTAAAAATCATATCCCCATTCAAATTTCTGACTACCCCTCCAATACCAGCCACACCAGGATTACCTATGGAGCTGCCGTCAAAGTTTAGTTTGAGACCCCCCCGATGCTGGTGGAGTCCAAATACTTCATGGTTTACTCTTAACGATGCCCATATGGAATAGATTTTGGAGGTTAAGCATCACATCTACCTCCGAAATGACCCACCCCTCCTTCAAAATTGACAAACAACACCATAAAGAGTGTTTAATCTTGTTGAAGACTCTATCAAATGGTAGACTATCCCCCATCAAACGTTCTCTTATTCCGCTCTGTCTACGCTTCCCACATTACAACTTCTCCTACAATTTTCCAAATCACAATGCCAGTCTCCGGTAAATGTGGAATAGCAAGATCAGTGACAATCCCTAACACATTTTTGGGTAAAGGCATTCTAACCGCAAACTTCAAAAAGAACCAGCAACAAATCCTAGTGGCAAAAGGGCGACAATGTTAAAATAAATGAGCCCTCGATGCACCATCTCCTTTGTACATCAGATAAACATTTGGAAAAATTTTGCTCCTTTTAATCAAATTATCAACTGTAAGAATCTTATCTTGGGCAGCAAGCCAAACAAAAACTTGGACTTTGTGAGGTATCGACTACTTCTAAATCTGAGCAATTTGTAGCAAAGACCACCTTCATCGATCATGGGAAAACAACCTCTAACATGATTTAACCAAAAAAGGCCGTCATTCTCCAGCTCCCACACAATTTTATCTTCCAACCTTTGTGGGATATATACTTGATTCAAGGCTTCCATCAAAGTACTTAACTGAGAGTATAACCCATTGTTAATCCTATTATAAGGAAAATTGATATTCTACACCACATGATTACCTCTAACCTCAAAGATATAAGCCACCTTCATATTAGGATTAGCCATCTTTTCAAAGATCTCTGGAAAAACAAACTTCAACGGTCTATCCCCCAGCCACTTATGGTGCCAAAAAGAAATCTGGTCACCACAACCAATACACTACCACAAATTTCCTTCAAGCAAAGGCTTGCATAGAAAAATTGATTGCCAAAAAATCGATCTATTGGAATTGCCACGGCCACTACCAATCCACATGTCTTGCCTGTAAATACCATATTTAGCAGTTAGTATTAGGTACCACAGTTGGTCCTTAAAATGAAAAGCTTGCCACTACCACTTACAAAGCAAAGCTTGATTGACAAATTTGAATTTTTTGATCCCCAGCCCCCCTTCTTTCTTAAGAATATACAGCCTATCCCATCTCACAAGGTGAAATTTCCTAGCTTCATCACAAAGTACCCCACAAGAAGTTCTACATCATACATTCTTTTTTTCTGGCAACTGAGGATGGCATCTTGATGATTGACATTTGATAGATAGGGAGGTTTACGAAGCACAACCTAAGAAGAGTAATCCTCACTCCCCAAGATAGGTATTTAAGCTTCCATAAATCCAATTTTACTTGAACTCTTTGTATAACTTTATCCCTCACCAAGACTGATAAGCTTGCATAAGAAATAGGCAACCCCCAATAAGTAATTGGGAAAACATCAAACTTGCATCCCATAGAATCTGCCAATTCCTTCACCAAAGGCTCAAGACAGTTAATACCAATCAAAGAAGTTTTGTCAAATTAACTTATAGGCCCAAAGTTACCTCGCAAAAAATATGGCAGTGTTATACACTTGAGATAACTCAGCCTCACAGAAAATAAGTGTGTCATCTGCGTATTGTAGATGAGACATATATGGCCACTAGTTACCTTGAAGCCCGAAAAATTACCTCTGCGCTCCACATTTCTAATAATAAGATTGAAGCATTCTGCATATATGATAAACATAAAATGCAATAGTGGGTCACCTTGGCATAAACTTCTCGCAAGCATTGAAGAAACCTGTTGGGTTATCTTTGAAAAGAATCGAAAAGTGGGCTGAAAAAAATATCCGAAAATCCAATTTTTCCATTTTTCTCCAAAACCTATTCTTTCAAAATAAACAGTAACACACCTCATTCCACTCTGTCATATGCTTACTCCATGTCTCTTTTGATAACCACACCCCGAGAACTTGCTCATCATATGGAATGGAGGTTTCTTATGAGTTTATTTTTAAATTGAGGTTTCCCTTTCTAATATTTCTCCCTTTCTCTTTCATATACTAGTCGTTCATGCATGGCAATGGATGATAGTAGTATTTTATGAAATCCTATGAGTCCAACAGTCCAAAAGAAAATTATGACTTGTATAAAAAGTTATACTTTTTTCCAGTAATATTTATTTGTAGTGTATTGGATATTGTTTAACAAGATATGCGACCTAGAAACACTTATGTTATACAATGAAAACAGGCAACCTTGTGTATTGTAACTCCATGTAATCAAAGCTATTAAACCATAAATGGAATCATAGGAGCAGAATTTGAATTTATTAGACCTCGATCAGTACTTTAGTTGAAGGCAAACCATAGGAGAGTAAATGGGAGTAGATTTTGTCCCTTTTTAAAATAAGTTTAAAGCATTGTTTGATTTATGGGGCGAGCCAACTCGGACTAACCACTCTAGCGAGCCTGAGTATCCCTGAGTTGGGTGGCCCAAATTGGGGATCTTAAAGAAAAAAATAAACAACTATAAATTCTAAAAAATAAGAAATTAATTTGTGATATATTTTTTTATATTTTCTATTATTTTTTATATTTTCTATTATTTTTTGGCAAAGATTGGGAAGGGTTTTGTCTATGAGTACTTATTTTTACAATTTCCCTCTCATTTTGATTATTTCTAAAATACCGCCCGTCACAAATCAATTTTTTCAAAAGAAAAAGTATACAATGAGACCATTTACCTTTGGTACAAGGTGGTCACAATTAATCTTGACCATTGAATGTAAAATTGGATGGTTACATTTATTCCATTGACCATACACAAACTTCAAAAGAAATTTTTTAAAAATTTGTGACACACTCAAGCTATCAGATTTCACATCGGATGATTATAAATAATTGTGACCTCCTTATAGCAAAGGTAAATGGTCTCATTGTGTACAATCCCTTTTCAAAATCCATTTTCTCTAATTTTTTAATTTCATTTAGATATGTTTATTTAATTTTACTTCAAACATGTTTTTCCTCTTGTTTGGGAACTTCTGGTACTTTTTCATTTTTTTAATACTTTTTGGCTTCGCCAGAATTAGGCCCAACTCGGGAGTCACTCGGACTCCGGCCATGGCCGAGTACCCGAGTCATCTTTCCAACACTGGTTTAAAATTGGAGGTTTTGATGCTTTGGCACTTGTTGTATGGTCTAGAACGAGCAAGAACAAAATGCATAGAGGAAAATCACACATTATTACAGGAAAAAGATGTACCAGCAAAAGTAGCCCTCTTTCAACTTCCTATCTCTCCACACCATTAAAGCTCCCTCCCCTTCAAGAAGTGCACCACAAAGTTCAGTAAGCTAAGCCAATAGAAAAGATCACACTGTATACACAAATGAAGGTGCAGTAGCAAAGTTCTACGCAGCTTTCTATCTCTCCATGCCATTGGAATTTCCTTTGTCTGCAACCTCCATTTCCATGTCTTGTGGCGGAGGCCGGGGCTTGAACCAGGCTGCACACCACAAATAGACAGCAAAATTCACCAAGCTGAGACCAGAGAGAAGCCAGTAGAAACAATCCAACCTCCCCTTGTTGATATCATCAGCTAACCACCCTCCCTTCCCTGATCCCCCAGTAATCCTATCAACCATGGAAACCAACATGCTGCTCACAAAAAACCCTAGTGATAGTGTCGTCAAGAACAATCCGGTACTCATGGTTTTCATCCCTGCGGGCGATTGGGTTATGAAGAAGTCCAGCTGCCCAGTGTATATGAAGGCCTCTCCTGAGCCCACCAGGAAAAACTGGGGTACCAGATAGAACACACTCATAGGCAAAGGCCCGTGTTCATCATGCAAATCTTTGGCGATGTTGAGGCGTTTGGCCTCTATTAGGGCAGCAGAAGCCATGGAAATGATCGAGAGGAATAAGCCTAGGCCGATTCGCTGGAGGTTTGATAGCGGAGGTTGGCGAGAGTCAGAGAACCGGCGGTAAAGAGGGTTGACGAGCCGGTCATAGACCGCTAAGGTAATGAGGATGGTGCCCACAAAGAACACAGTGAGGGACGCCGGGGGAATGGAGAAGGAGCCGAAGAGGGTGCGGTGCATCGTGGTCGCCTGCTCGACAGAGAAGGTGACCATTTGAGCATAGGTGGTCCAGAACATGATGGAGGTAGCCCATATGGGAAGCATGCGCACCACCATCTTCACCTCCTCCACTCGTGTGACACTGCACAGCTTCCATGGGTTCCTGGACCTTAACCCTTCTTCTTGGTCCTCTGGTGTGATGATCGCAGCATGGTCGAGGAAGCTGTAGATTTAAAACAAAATTCGAGATTAGTTATTGCTAAGTAGTCCATAACTCCATATACATTAAAAAGGCTAGATCAATTTGCCTGGATATTTTTGAACATATTTCACGGGGTTGGAACCCTTTATACCCTTGTAGTAATCAGTGTTTGATTACTTGGGCGAGCCAACTCGGACTCGTCACCCTGGCGAGCCCCGGTATTCTCGAGGTAGGTGGTCTAATTTGGGGATTTAATAAAAAATAAAAAATATTTATGAAAAATCCAAAATTTTTTTAATATATGTTTTTAATATTTCCTATCATTTTGGTAGAGATTGAAAAGTGTTTTGGTCATGAGCACTTATTTTTAACATTTTTCCTTCTTTTTGATTATTTTTAAAATGTCCCCAGTCACAAATTTATTTTCGAAATCGATTGTTCTCTACTTTTTCTAACCTCATTTAGATGTGTTTTGTTTAATTGTACTTTAAACTTCGTATTTTTTTACTTATTTTTTATACTTTTTGTCTTCAAGGGACAAATACTGGATCACTTATCAAATTCAAATAAAATTGCCTAAGATTTTCAGTAAGTTTAGTACTGTGAGCCCCTCTGATTTGCATTAAGAGACGGAGAGTTTAGATTCGTTACTAACCGGAATTGCTTGGTGTGAGGGATCCTTGGTGCTCCATTACAGTCCTCATACAAGAGGCTGCTTTCCTGAGGCAATTGAAGGTTGCGCTTGCGCTTGCGCATGGCCGCCATTATAACTTGCAAAATGTGAACAATTGGACTACCTGCACTCTTCTTGAACCTGTATCTTGGAGTTCCAAACAAGAAGATGGCAATGGCCACTATCATAGAGAGAGAGCAAATGGCGTAGGCCCAGCTTCGACCGACCGCATCTTGAATGTATACAAGTACAGTAACAGCAAGTAGGGAGCCGAGACTGATGCAGAAGAAGAACCTGCTGAAGAAATGTGCCATTTGGGTCCTTTCTTTCTCATCCTTCTCATCGAATTGGTCAGTGCCAAAGCCCGACACACTCGATTTTAGGCCTCCGGTCCCAAGAGCAATGAGATATAGAGATATGTATAGAACTCCCATTTGTAGCCCGTTTGCCTGCTCGCAGTGATGGTTTCCATGGCCGCATGGAGGTGGGTGCAGCTGTGGGATTCTTGAAACAATCGCTAACATGCCAGTTCCCTGTGTCCACCGTGAAATATTTATAAATAAAGAAATTATGGGAAAAAAAAATGAACCATGAGTTTATGTGCACTTAATGAAGCTCTGTATGTTACAAAACACAGTGCTGGTGTGAAGGTGTGAAGGTTACAAAAGACAGTGTTAGTCCCATTAAAATCTTATTCACACTCGTGTGGAAAATATATCCCTTGAATGAAAGATTTTAGAGTATTTCGTTTGGAAATGTATACAATTAGACCATTTACTTTTTTGATACAAGAATAATTATTATTAACGGTTGGATGTGAAATCGGTTTGTTGAGAATGTGCCATTGATCAGGTGGTACAAAGCCCAAATTAAAAATTTCTTGAATGTTGTGATAAATTTCAATATATTGGATTTTATATTTAATGGTTAAAAATAATTGTAACCTCCTTGTACCAAAAGTAAATGGTTTTATAGTATACAATCCCATTTTGTTGATCTAAAATTAAGAAACGTGTATTTTAAATAAATTTAAACCTAAAATAAATATTGAGTTTCTAATAGATTCCATAAGCCAATATTTGGATGGTCCCTTTATTCTTGAAGTTGTATTTTTTTCTCAAGCACATAAAAGACGCACATAATTATTTTATTTTTTATTTTTTCTGATTGGTCTCTAGGTTGAAGAGGATGCACCCCGAAAGTGGTCCCAATAAAGAAACAAGAACAAAAGCAACACTACAAACAAAAAGAAACACTAATCAAAATAACTTAAAACTCATAAAAGCAAAGCAATGAATAATTTAAATTAAGAAAAAAGGTAGAAATAAAAGAGATGAAACTAACCAGAGCTTGAAGTGCTGAGAAGATGAGAATGGTTAAGTATCTTCCTAAGAAAGAATCAGCAATGAAGCCACCCAGAAGGCACAAGAGGAAGCACGTGCCCATGAAATCTGTGACTATGTTTGCAGAGGTGGCACTGGGCAAATGCATTGTGCCCACTAGGTAGGTCACCAAGTTCACCCCTATCCCCAATGTCGAAAGCCTTTCAACCAGTTCGATTCCTGCAACAAAAACAGCCAGCCATACTGAGAGAAAGACAGAGAGATGATGATGATATAAGCTTAAAGCCACTCTTTTTGGACTTGGCGGAGTTACTCGGCCTCAGCGGACAGGTGAGGCAGAGTACTATGTACTAATTTTTAATATATAATATGTATCCCCAACTATAATTACATGGGTCTGATTCGCTTTTTGGCTATTATGCATGCCTCAGCAGTCTTATGTCTTCGGTGAGATTAGTCTTATGTCTTTGGTTCGAATCTCACCAGACATGATCCCACATCTTCGATTCGAATCCCGCAAGACATGATCCCAATTTTTAATACAAAAAATAGACTGTTTCTTATTTTCACATCTTCAGTTCGAATCCCGCCAGTCATGATCCCATTTTTTTTATGAAAAAACAGATGTTTCTTATTTTATTAAAAAAAAAGCCTCTTCTTATTCAATGGGCAAGATTTGATACCTCAATTAAGGCCCCATAACCTTTTACCAGTACAATACTTGAGTACTCATAATAACTATCTTATTATATATATACCTTATTTTTTTTTGGTTATTATTATTATTTTTAAACATGACATGAACTCCACTAAATTGCTCAGACTCAATCAATGTCCGAGTACTTTGATTGAGTCAATTTTCTTAATATTGCTTAAAACCACGTGATATAATATCATGTGTACAAACCTAATATGAAAGCAGCTGGTACCCAACCACCTGTTTTTGACCGATCTGCAGGGAAGCCCTTGTAGTCCAGAGCGCCCACCATAGACCAGCTCTTGCCATTCTAAAAACAGAAAACGATACATGTTTTAATCAAATAAAATTATCATCATCTGAGCTTTAACTCAACTATTTGTGGTCGGCTTTAAAAACAAACTAAATATTTCAGATTAATACAAACATGACATAATAGCCAATTATTGTCCATGTGTTTTTGACTTTAGATAAAATAAGTGCATGGGTTAAACTAAGTGTGTCAAAACTTTCTCTTTCGGAGAAAATAAAACTTCATTTAAGTTGTCTGAGAGAGAAAGGACCATTAGGATGAGAATGTTTAGACTAAAGATATAAAAAAATATGGGAAAGGAGTTGAGGTCGAGGTAGTAGCACCCCTACACCCTAATCATCACATTGTGGTTTTTATTCTTACTAATATTACCCCACAAACGCTTTAAAAAAAAAACTAACTCCCAAACCATTTGAAAAAACACTTTAAGGTTTGTCTTCTCCACTAAATTAAAAAAAAAAGAAAAAAAGAAAAAAAAAACGATATAAAGAACGTACCATTGTTTTCCTCGTGGCTGGAGAGTTGTTGAGAGAGAGAGAGTGAATGCGATTTGAGAATTCTTAAAATTTATGAAAAACTGGAGTGTCATACTGGAAATGGAATGTGTTTAGGTGTATTTATAGAGGGAGTTGTTGGGTGCATGAGAGGTCTCTTGCTGGCAACCTCTTGACCCTACAGTCACCTCCACTAACTTTCTAGAAAGATCCTCCGAGTTCGGAAAAGAGAGAGCAAGATTTCAGGTTTGGCATGCGCCCCTTCGATTGCTGGTGGGTCAGTTTGTCAGAAGAGAGAGAGAAAGCGAAGATATGAAGATCGAGTTTAGAGACAGAGAGGGGGAAAAGATAAGAAGATCGATTTAACGATTGTGATTGCATCTAAGGTCAGTAGAGAGAGAAAGAGCTTGATGTTGAGAAGTAAGGGTGTGGGTAAGACCAAAGTTATCAAATTCGCTTGGCGTTGGTCGAAGCTTTCGGATTTTAGGCATAAATCGAAGCAAAGAGAAGCATGGTCCTACTGCTTTGGTCAAATTTTAGCCACTTTGGGCTTCTTCAGTCAGATTTGGGCATGCTTTGGTCAGAAAAGAAATACCTATATAAAAAGTATTTTTTTTAATTTTTTAATTTTTTATTATTTTTATATATTTTATACATGAATATCTAATTTATTTATATTTAAATTATAAAAATCGAAGTCTACTCTCGAATCTGCCAAAGTACCGAATTATTGCATTTTTCTGACCTATCCAAAGAAGACTCCAAAGCGAATCTGAAACATTGGGTCAAACAGGGAAGTAAAACTAGATGGTGGAGGCTCGAAAATCTTCATGAGGCTTGCATGGGCGCTTTCTTTATGCTACATTTGCATCATGTGGATTAGAATCAGTGTACAAAAAGAAGCAACAAAACCTTTATACCGATCATCTTGGCTTGATCATTATGATTGTAAAAAGAAAAAGGATTTTAAACTCTAAAAATATGGTTATTGTAACAAATTATCTAGACCATCCATTTTTTCTTAAAAATAAGTGTTTATAGATCTACAAGATCTATACTATTATTTGAATTTCAAATTTCATTCCCAGTGTTGAAAATTGATTTTAGAGCCATCATGTAGATTTCTTACCAAAAAATACGTTTTGGATGAAGATTTGAGGTGAGGCTTTCTTTTGTTTTCATAAAACCTTTGCCTTGTAGAAACCGCATCCTTTAATGCATTGAAATAACGAGATTGTAGAACATCAGTTTTACCTTCAAGAGAGACAGTTAGAGAGAAAATACGATAAAAGTAATTATGTTTCAAACATGCCAATTAATAAAGTATTTAGACTTTTTAATTTGTGATATTTATAAAGTATGAAGTAACCTGTTTTTTAGTTCAGGGTTTTGACTATTTACTGGGGTAGTGTGACTAATAGTCAATAACTCCCAAGAAACCAACCAGGCATTCCACGTTGTGCAAAGTGCACCCCGGACTATTAATTGACAATTATAACTAGCAATACCACACTAACTGCCGAGAAATCCACTAACCAACAGGCGTTCCATGTCATGCGAAATACTGCAACCGTGACTACTAATTGGCACTCATAACCATAGTTATCAAGACCGATACAAATCAGTTGTTTGACTGGTTGTACTTTCGATTGGTGCCTTGACTGGTTTGGCTTAAAATAAAACTTGAGTTTGGTTGAAAATTGGTAAAAACCAATGTTTGATCGGTTGACCTTGCCGCCTTTAACAGGTTTAACTAGCTAAATGAAGTCAGATAGTTTTTTCTTATATATTTTGTAGTTTTAAATATTACATATAGTGTTTATTTTATTTTTTAAAATCCTATCAAATTGGTTTGACAATTAGTTGAACTGATTTTGATTGGACCAAATCCAACATTGATTTAATGGCAAATGGTACGATTTTGATAACACTAGTTATAACTACAAGCAAATAATTATTGAACATCATCTGAAGTGAATCACTTACTTTTCTATATTCTTCAAAACTAAATACTCACAACTTCTCTCTCTCTCTCTCTCTCTCTCTCTCTCTCTCTCTCTATGATGAAATATTAAAAAACTATATCATTTAAGGTCGTGATTTCTATAAGGAGTAATGATCCTATAGGACTCTCTTTCAACCATGTATGTAGGATCCTAAAGGATCACCATTAAAGTTGGCACGGATCTCTAAAAAAATTATCACATGGGTGTAAGACTTGACTTTTGTATAGATCAGTGTCAAATTTAATGGTAATCTTTTGGGGTCCTATACACATGGGTGGGGGAAGGTCCTATAGGATTATTTCTATATAAGGTTGCAACTTTAAACAATCCAATTAAAGCGCACCTCCAAATTTTATCATAACATGTAATTTTGGTGTAAAATATTATTAGGACTATCTGAAAATATATTTTTATATTTAATTCTAAAATTTTAAATTCAAAAAATAATTAAAATCAAGTAGAACTATAAAATTATGAAAATATTGAAAATGGACGGTCTAGCCAATATGTGCAAGATACGTTATTTTTGGGACTCAAAATCTTTTTTCTTTTCATATTCATACATCTCAATGTTCAATTAAAGAGCGTTTCAACATTCAAACAACCTTTTCCAATCGATTTTTGAGGTGTATCTTTAATTCTACATTTTAAGGTTGCAACCTTATATAAACTTTTTTCATCATTAAATCACATTATTTTGAAGTACTGCCTGACCTTCTCTTTACAATGAAATATTTTACAAAACTATACTATTAAATCACATTATTTGAAATACGGCCTAGTACTTCAAAACTAGAAGACTGACAAGCCATATTGTTAGGTATTGTTAGTAGTATTAAGTTACTCTGAAGGAATAGAGAGACAGAGATTGTCAATACTAGGTCAATTTGAAGAAGGTAGAGACGTGGTTTGACATACGCCCTTGTGAATTGAGAGAGAGAGAGAGAGAGAGAGAGAGAGAGAGAGAGAGAGAGAGAGAGAGAGAGAGAGAGAGAGTTTTTGGGGTTGGGGTGGTCTCCCATGGGCGGTGACAGGTCATTTTAGATAAATAGAGGAGTTAGTTTTTGTCAAGATTTTTTGACATAGACACTTGTGATTCCTGAGTGACTCTACAGAGAGAAAGATGGGGTTTGGTGTTCTCCTGTGGTGTGGTCGGTCTTAGTGGGTCATGAGATTACGTTGGTGGCTCAGAGGGTTGTGTTGGAAGGTTCGAGTGGTTGGGCAATATGGGTTTTACTTTCTCAAACTTCCCATGCCCATAAAGCCTCAAAATAGAAAAAAAATAAAAAGTTAGTTGAAATTATTGGAGATGAAAAATCCGAATCTTTTGAACATGCATTGTGTGAGAAACATGTATTATGCTCCATTCAAAACCCAAAAAAAAAAAAAAATTCCAAAAAAGGAAAACATTACCATGCTTCCCTACCTTTATGGATAGGTATTACTTCTTTGAGACTCCTCCTCACTACCCAAAGTGCTCTTCCTACCCCACATGAAAAAGCCACTCCCTTTTTGTTTCTCCCAGTTATCACCACATACAAAGCATCTGGTATATCCCAAATCTTACTATTTTTCAATGGGAAAATATACCAATTTATGGTATCTATCCCTATCACTAAAGGCTTAGATCCAGATCGTGACACTAATTTCTTGTTGGATTTGCAGCCTTGAAACCATAGAAACTGGTCAAGTTTCACCATCCAAAATGAAGTGGTTCTCTTTTGTTTTGGAGAATAAATGAATTGGTTCTCCAATCAAATGAGTTGTTTCTTAGGGCATGTTTTGTTTGTATGAAAATATTTTCACGAAAATACTTTCACACAAAAGAACTCCCTCATGTAGGAAATTTTTTCATCCCAATTGGTCCAATTTTATGGTAAATTTTTATGCTTAATTTCAATTGGTATGAAAAAAATTCCATACCTAATCACATGGGAGTGTGATTAAGAAACTACTTAGGAAGAGTAGAACAGCTTTTTCCAAGTATTCCATAGAATGCTTTTCATAAAAAAGAAGTGTTTTAAGGAGACACTTTCACAGTTACAAATGTCTCTTGGGGATGCTTTCCATTGCTAATGTAGCTACATCTCTAAGAAGTAAATACTATAGGAAAATATGATAGATTACATCTCTAAGAAGTAAATACTATAGGAAAATATGATAGATTCCAATTTAGGAAAATGTAAATGAAATGATTAAAGAGTTGAAATACCAATAGAAAACAGGGATAAAAAGAAAGATACTCTGGACTAAAGTCAACTAAAAAGCGTTAGTGAAAATCTCTGGTGGAAGTTTTTATTGTCATTTGAAAGGTTCTATATACAAATATTAAGATAAAAGTTTTTAGTCGAGCGGCAAAGAAGTATAAATAGTAACGAAATGTATACTAAGAGACTATTTACTTTTCAGACTAGGGGTCACAATCATTATTGTCTACTAGATTTTAAATCAGGTGGTTGTAAGTGTGTCATTGACTAGACTTAAAATTCAAAAAAAAGAAATTATTAAATTTCGTGATATACCTTAGCTATCCAATTTGATATCTATTAGTTAGGAGTGATAGTGGCCTCCTGATAATAATGACAAATGTTCTCATAGTATACAATCCCAAATAGTAAAGAAGTAGAAGTACGATTTGGATGGAGGTTGTTTGAGTCTCTCCATGGAGTATAGAGCGTAAAATCTTATATGAAAGCTGACAAGTAGGAAAGAGATATGAAATTTATATATAACAAGATCGTTTTCCAATCATATTAGAAGGTAACAATTACTCCTAGTTGTCATATATGAAATTAGATACTTAGGGGTATAATAAAAGGGATTGTCGTCAAAGAGACCATTTACTTTTTGTACTAGAAGATTACAACTATTTCCACTCATTCGATGTCAAATTGGATAGCTTGGGACGAGTCACGAAGTTCGAGAATTTTTTTGGAACTTTGTGTCTAATCAATGATAATCTTACAACCTCTCAATTTGAAATCTAAGAGACTGGTTTGGGATGAGTCATGAAGTCTGAGAATTATTTTTTAGAACTTTGTGTCTAATCAATGATACTCTTACAATAACCCATTT